ATGAAGTTGAAATTTAACATATGATATCATTGCAGAGCTGATCCAACCTTTGAGCAAGTAAACCAAGGGCTTTAGGCCCACCAATATTTTAGTTTATTTTCAACTATTTTCGATGGTTTGCGCATGTAGAGAGAAGACCTGTAGATTTTGTGGTAAGGAAAGTAGATCAGATAGAGAAGAGTCAAACAACTAGATATAGAGGAATATCTAGAAAAACTATAAGAAAAGTTATTAAGAAAAATCTCGAGATTAACAATTTAGATAGAAACATGGTCCTGGATAGAACATTAAGGGGAGAAGGCTTGGTTTGGTTGTTGTTGTTGTATAAATGTATAGATATAATAGCATGTTAAAAAAGGCCTCTAGCCTAATGGTTAAGGCCTCCTAATTTTAATCAGAGGAATGCTAGCAGCGCACTCTGTAGGCTTCATATTCTAATTTAAACGATTTTTTTGTAGTTAGGTTATACTGTATTGGATTTTACTTTAAGCCTCATATTAACATTTGCTTAGGCTACAAATGTGTTGGGGCGACGCTCAAGCATTGTCCACTATTCAAACCCAAAGTTGGCCGTTGCATGGGGGTGGGAGGGTTATGTTTAATAACTACTCATCAGGCTTTGGCAAATAATTCAACCTTGTATTTTCTACATTTATTTAAGTACATGTTCTGGCACCATTATTTCTATTCTTTTAGCACCTAGAAAAATAACACTTGATCATTCGCACGGCGGCCTATTTTTTCATGTCATTTGTAATATGTTTCTGCTGAGACCTAATTGGTTGAAATTCATAATGTTTAGTGAGCGACGTGGACGAGGAAGTCTTGCAAATATTTTTAAAGGACAGAGAATTAAATGGGGATTTTGTATCAAGAACTTCCGATTTAATATGGCGAATGAACAACAGAAACTCTGGTGATTATGACACTAGTGAGCTCACCGACAACAACAATTCTCAACAAACAGAACAGGTGCAGATGACTCATACTCATTGTATCTAATTTCAAAATTCAAACCATTCTGATTCATTTTTTTTATTATCGAGTGTCAGTTTTGTGCGATCGTTGCCTTGTAGCAACCTGGTTGTGAGCTCTGTATATGGTTTCTTTCATCAGGCAATTCAGTTTCATGCGATTATTCTAATACTTGTAGATCATAGAGACTAACAGCGATGGCGGTTTTTTGAAACTTTCAAGTACTCAAGAGTGGTTATTAGGCGACAATTCCGCACCAGTAAACAGGAAGATGACTGCCAAGGTATGGTTTTTGTTTTTATTTTCGATCTGGTGAACATTCATTTTCTTGTTTATGTCATTATCCCTTTACAGAAAGTTGAAAACTCGATGTGAAATTGATATGTTTTTCTTAAAAATAGTTTTCAAGTTCATCTTCTTTCTTGGTAAATATATATAATTCAGTCATCATTTTATAATATTTGATGTGTCACTTCCTATATCATCAGACAATCCAAGACAACAGAGCGCGACTCAAGAAACTGGAGGCACTCAAATATCAATCTGTATGATACCTCTCTTGACTCAGTATGTTCTTTATTTGCTAAAGTCAGTCACACTTGCTTCAAGGCATGTAGGTTTTAATCGTTCATAATTATTCTTATATTGATTTAGCTTCTGATTTTTAAATTGTTATTTTTAATTTTAGCTCAAGAGAGAATTACTACTTCTCTCTGTGGGTATTGGATTGGCTTGTAGCGGATATTGCTTGGTAGTTTTTTCTGTACAGGTAAAGTTTACATTTGCATACACTTGTTTTTCTATTCTCGTCAACTTTCTGTTATGTTCACAACTAGATAAATTTAATGCTTCTTACCAGACGATTATGATCTTTTGTCATAACAATACTAAACTTTAGATGGATGCTATTTCGAATGTCTTACCATAATGGTTCAACTTTCACCACCATGGTGTGAGCTCTAAGTTATCTCCGTCTTTACACAAAAGTTTGCATATCCGTATATGTTGTCTAAGTTCGTAAAAAGAAGTTTCGAGCATCTATGTTGAACTAATGTTTGTATCCAACTTTTCAGGCTGCTTTAAGTTATGCGGTTGGAGTCCTTTTCAGGTTTGTTATTAGATTTTGTTATATTCTGTCTTGTTGAATTTTTTGGTGAGTTTAAATATATTTGAGCTTGGGTCAAGAGATAAAACTTTACAATCAACACTTCATATGAGTTTATGAAATTAATTATGAAGTACTGTCACTGTAAAACTTATTACATTTTTAAACAATCACGAACCATCATTTGTATGACTTTTAAGGTAGATATGATTAAAGTCTAATGTTTTTAATGATCTAATGATTATGATTGATTGACGGTGTAAAACTTTTTACACTTTTAGTGCAAATCAATTAAAATTTAAGTTTATTGTTGTTCCCTCAAATTTTAGAAATGCTTTATGGAATCTAAGAAGCCTAGTGAATTGTGAATGTCCAACTATCATTCTTTTAAACCACTACTATATGTTAGGATTCAGACATACTATTTGTTCACGGAACTGCTCTTTGTAGATCGAATGAAAATAAAATATATAGCTGTCGTTGCTTATTTTAGTACATCATTGATATGCCATTTTCAATGCAGTTGCTTGTACCTTCAGCTCTTGTATCAACACGCAGACAACATATCAAGTGAAAACGTTCCTCAAATATTCAGGAAAAAGAAATCGAAAACGTATGAACAGAAACTTTCACTTTGAATTTGTTTTAGTCGAGCCAGTTAGCATTCTTTGTTTTTAACATTCACTTATCCATTGTTTTGATCAAGAAATATTTCTTACTCAGAATTGGTATAAGAAGCGAGGACCTTAATGATTTTTTCGAGAGAACAATCAGGGGTAGCGGTATATCACTTTCATCTCCAAGGCTCGTGATCCCAGCAGCAATTTATGGACTCTGGGCTTTGTCTCATCAGTATTTTACCAATGACTTGTTTGATTTTCAGGTAACCCTTGGAAACATCAAATATGTGTATTAAAAAAAAGCACTTTCTTCAGGAATTTTGATTGTGTGCAATCAGTGCGTTCAGGATATCGGTGACTGTTTAATCAAGATAGATCAGTCTAGATTTTGCGTTCAATATTTATTTTATTTTTGAAAATCAAAATAAGCATGTTTTCTGCTCTGTCCGTTCTTGATTCCACGGCCACTGATGTTCTAACTGCATGTCTGCGCGAACTATGACGGCATGCGACCCAAACTATTCAACTACTGTCTAACACATTGGTCATTTTAATTCTGTCTTTTATTCACCCACAGCTTGTGCCAGCCATGGTTGGGATGTTTGTCTACAAGGCTGCTGCTCTAGTGCAAGTTTACAGAGACAATAAAGAGTTAGGCTTTGAATTTCCGGAAGATTATTAATGGAGGAAGACTCAAGTGACTGAAATGTTTGTTTAGCTATGTTCAGCAGATTACTGTTTCCTACTTACTCAAATATTGGAAATGGCCTGCTGCATCCAGAACTGAGCCCAACTTACATTTATCTTGTACCAAAAATGTCATATAGTATGTATATTATATATATGAGAATGGAAGATAATTTGAAATGATAAAAAAAATCGTGGTTAAGCACCCATTATGTAGGAGTGATATTATGATGTAAATGTAAGCTTGCAGCATTGTTTATTTAAGGCACCGTATTTGTGGTTCTACAATCATGTGATCATAAGTTGTTATCCAATGCAGTGTGACAAAGTTGTTTCGTTTGGTAAAAATGTTATTTAAATGTAATCATGGTATTATGTTACTGTCCTATTCAATTCAATGTTCGGTTATAGCCTAATGCCTATTCCAGCAACGATGTGTTAGAATCCAATAATTGGTGTCTTTGCCGAACCACGTGTCAATGATAACTATCATTAGACATGATCAAATAACATTAGTGTCAAACTTCAAATATGACATCCTGATATTTTTAAGGCATATTTAGTATAACAAAATTTATCATCGAAATATATGTATGAAATATACAATTTTCCCGTTAAATCAGTTTAATTAATAGTTGTACAACAATATTAAATATAAGAGTGCATGTTCGAACCTGCGACATCAAACTTGTACAACAATATTAAATATAAGAGTGCAGGTTCGAACCTGCGACATCAAATTTATACAACAATATTAAATATAAGAGTACAGGTTGGAACCTGTGACATCAGACTTGTTCACCTTTAAAGATTGAATTCTAATCACTAAATTATTTGATAAATTTTTGTTTGAATTTTATTTTAAATCTCATGTATTTTATGAGATTAGTCCAACTTAAATTTAACTTATTGCTCTTGTAATTATATTAATTATTAATTATATTTGCTCTTAAAATTATGAGATTATTCATATCTTAGTCTATCCATTTAATTCCCATAAATTTTGTTTGTATAAAATATAAAAAAATGACACTTTTAACATGTGAAAGGTTTTGAGCTTAATTTAATTAATATTTATCAATGTCAATAAACTACAATGAGTTATATTTGTGACATTAAAAATAATTATAATAAATCTCAAATATTTTTACCATGTATATATGAATTAAAAAACGAACCTCTCCATAAAAAAAAAGGCTGAACTTCAATTTTATTTTTACAAAGCCAAAATAAAATATTTTGTTAACAATTATATAAAAGTAAAATATAAGAGAGAAAAACTGGACCACAATTATTTTTGAAGCCCTCCTTCTCGTAAAAAAAAACTCGCTCCCAAGAAAAAGAAAATAAAAAAGAGAAAAATCCACTCGAAGTAACTAGTGGAGTGTATGATGCTCTACTGACTTGAGCATAACCAACATTGTTTCTCCCGTCTTCCCTTTTCACTCTCCCGGATCTGCTTCACTTCTCTTCAACACTTTCTACCTACGCTCTCTACTAATATGAAAAATTAACAATCATTATCACAAATATCACTACTATTTTATTCCCGAGTAGATCGGAATCGCCGTCTCTCTCTACTCTGAAACCCTAGCTAGATCCGATCCAACTCCATGGCCACACCGCCACGAAAACCTCGCAACCGTGAAATGCTCTTCGACTCCGTCATCGCTCTCGTCTTCATCCTCGTCGCTTGCGTCGACTTCTGTGACGGCGCTACTGTTGTTGACGTCTACCGCCTTATCCAATACGATATCTCCGGTGTTCCGTTCGGATCTCGACTCGCGAGCCTCAATCACCACGCCGCTTCTCTCCATTTCTCTCCTCACGCCGATCTCTCGCGCACTGTTCTTCTTATTCCTCTTCGTGAACTCAACATGTCCTTTGTTCAAGGTTCTCATTATTGTGCTCGTTTTTTTATGTTTTGATTGGTTTATTGGTTGATTTTACTGAAACCTAACTGTTGATGTTCAACGTAGTTTTGAATTACGCTACTACTTATTGATTTTGATTTTCACTTTCTCTGTTTGATTATGGAAATATAAATTTGGATACTAATTCTATAGTTTGGGACAAAAAAAGAAAGTATAAATGTCATGGTTCATTTAATGTTATAGATAAAGTATCTAGTCAAACTCTGAAAGTAGCTATTACTACTTTGTATTGATAATTATTTGAAGAATGAGATTATTAATTTAACGAGATCACAATTTTGTTTGACTGATATGACAGAGTATATTGTTGCTGGCAAGCCTCTGGGGGGTTTAATATTTTTGCTGCCTCAGATGTTCAATTTTGAAAGTAAAGATGGTGCGGGAAGTAATGGTGACGATGGGAGCAAGGAACTGCTGAAGAGTATGCTGGCTGAGCTTGAACAAATACTTATACACGCCAACTTACCTGTGAGTAAATTTCAGAAAGCTGCTCCTTTATCTATGTTGTTACAAAGTTGTAATTATTTTTCTTTTGGAATTTTTAATAAAATGAATTGTTTGCTGGAATCCAGGTAGCAAAAGCTAACTGCTTAGTTCTTTAACTTTGAATTCCTTTACATTTATTATTGTTTTATTTTTCATTCTAAGTCATCAAGTCATGTTATACTCTTTAAAGTAATTTATGGACTGTTTTGACTGACTATGCCTGTGTTCTCCTAAAACCTAACTAATTTTATTAGCAAACGTATTGGTCTTTTTCATTGATTTGTTTGATGAAGAAATACTGGCTTTGTAATTTTCTCACTGTTTCGTTGATATTGAATACTTTGGCTAGTTTCTTTATGCAGTAGTGATCTACCAACCTTGTTTATTCAATTGCTCTAGACGATTTACTTGCTTATTTTTTATATAAATTGTGGCAGTCTGGCAGATAATTAATGAACCTAGTTTTGATATGTTTAACTATGGACATGCTTCTCAAGTCAGCTTTAAGTGTTTGCATATGTTTTAGGCTCTTGACTCATCAGTTAGTGCCAAGAAATATTGGCAAAATTGGAGTGCTTTCCTTAAATTCTATCGTCTATCATAGGCTTAGGCTCTTGACTGATAAGGTAGTGTCGGGTTGTACAGGCAAAACTGAAATGTTTTCCTTAAGTTCTATTGTCTATCATAGTCTTCTCTTTGTTATCTAATACCATTTATGTAGCTTAAAGTGTGGAATGGACTATCCATCATTCTCAAATTTTGTCTCATAACAAATGCACCTAATAAGTTTCTGAAATTTCTTTCTCAATTTTTCGAATACCAATATCAGTGTGCTGCATGTTGTGATAATTATGTTATTATTGTGGTGTATATGAGAAAGGAAAAGGGCACTTCTATACTATGGAATTGCATTGTTATTCTATAATTTATTATTTTTCCCCAACTTATCCAATGATGTTTTGTTTTTGCTTTTTAATACGTGACATGGCATCCCTTTTGTTTTATTATGTTTCCTACTATTACATTATTGATAAGTTAACATCTATTCTAATTATTTTTTGTTTTTTAATTTAACTTTTATGTTGCTGCATTTTTTTTCTAGTATCCTGTTTATTTTGCTTTTGAGGATGACAACATTGATGCTGTGTTATTGGATATCAAGAAGAATGATGCTTCTGGTCAGCCTGCCACTGCAACTACTGGGGGGTAGGTTTAATTCCATGAATAAGGCTTCCATTGGTGATTTGTATTTGTTAAGTTGTGTTAGGTTTAATTTTTAACTTGTGATCTATGAATTTGTATGACTAACTTATGATTTTGATTTAAATCTCTCTCTCTCTCTCTCTCTCTCTCTCTCTATATATATATATATATATATATATATATATATATATATATATATATATATATATATATATATATATATATATATATATATATATCATACATTTGTACAGTGGATAGTAAGATCCTACAAAATTCATAAAACTCGTGCATGAGAATCTGTGTATGAGAGATTGATATCCACTGTACAAATGTATGATTTATGATCTCAACTATGCCTCCCGACCATATGTAAAGTTTTTGGTTTGACTACTACCTTGGTCTGGATTATGGTTTAACTATATTGATTTCACAATTGTTACATTTCTTTTATTTTCTTTCCGTAATAAATTACTTCACATGCATGTTATGCATGTCAAGTTTGTTTTCTTTTGGAAGTGATGTTGCCAATGATTTCTTTTCTTCCTTTCTGTGTTTTCCCCCCTTTTTTTGAATTTTTCTACCTTTTTTGAAATGTTGCAGGTACAAATTTGTTGTCTCAGCCACTGAGCCAAAAAAAGTTGGATCTCCACCCATTACAAATATTCAGGTGTTTGTTCCGCCTTCTTTTGGGAGAAATACTATGTGGTTGATACTGTTGGGTGATGGGTGTGCAAATTCATTTAGATTAACAGTAGCTTTGAATTTTTTTTCCAGACATCATTTTGATCTAATTTTTATTCAAACTAAAGTTATTTCAAATAGATGGATATTTAATGTAAGTTGAGAAGCATATTTTTAATGTTGGCTAAATCCTAATATGTATATAATACAACTAACGGCATCACATAAATATGTCATCAATATATTTTCTTTTTCTGGTTTTCTTGTTTTTAATTTTTAAGATGTACATATATTGATACCATATGAGATTTCTGTTTGAACGATCAACAACCTTTGTGCTTCTGTAACCAGACAGTCTAAGATGACTTATAGAGAGCCTTGGGTTTGAGCATGACTCTGTAATCCACATAAGCGGTAATACCCTCATTTTTAAGTTCGAACAAAGTTAGAGACCTAAGTTTGTGCCCTAATAGGATCTGACATGAGACATGTCACTTTGTTTGCAGTCCCATCTCATAACCCCTCGCTAGACAGGGCACTGCAGTGCTAAAGCATTGTTCCGTGGTAACCACTTGTCGTGATACATCCCTTACTTGCCCTAAGCTATGCCTGACATATCCCTTACTTGCCCCATGCCCTGGCTGTCACCTGACACATCTATGTTTGCAAGTATAATTTCATATAATTTTTTTATTTTAGGTAGAATTGGTAGAACAGTAGGATCTTACAATCTGTGTTAAAATCCTCGAGTAGTCGAGTTACGATCTCTTTACCCTTCTCCCAATCCTACTAGGATCTTGAGTTTGACAACATTGCTTGCCATAAACGTTTGTCATAAATTCATGATATTGAGAACCCTATCTCTATAGGATAAAGCACAATCTTTGTAGTTGTAGTATATTCTCCAGTTCTCTAATAGGTTTCATTATGGTCTAGTCAAACATTGGAAAAAGCATGTCCCTCTTTTGTTTTGCTGTATTTTCCACTTATGTGTGAAATCTTTAAAGCTTTGAATCAATGGCTTTGTATAGACTTGAGGCTTTTGTGTATTGAGCAACAGTTTCGCTGCATGTATAGGCAAAAACAGGAAGTACTTAATAGGATAATCTGGTAGACTGGTACATGTCATTTTCTTTTTCCTGGATTTTGGTTGTAATTTTGTTTTCTTAATGCATTTTAGTGACAACTTAGGCATGTTTGATATGTTGTAGACCTATAATACCAGTAACCTGACTGAATAATGAACTATTTGACTGTGAAGTCTCAATTATGCACTTCTTCACGTCTACAACTTATCAAACATTCCTAAGTTGTCACTCAAAGGCATTTTATTTTCTTCCTATTGTTTTACTTCTCTCGAGTAAGTGAGCACTTCTTCATTATGCAGCCCTGCTTATTTTTGTACTTTCTTAAATTCTTGTTTCCTTTATTGATATCATCCTCCATAGCTTGTGCAAGTTGCTGTTTAACAATTAATGTTGAATGTAAGGCTATGGTTTATGTTATAATTTAAACCTGGAAAACATATAGCTTATGCTTGATAAAATGTAACAGATGAAGATATGTATTACCAATATCTTTGCATTCACAAGGGTTTTTAAATTGGTGTGTTTTGGATATAACTTGTGTGAATAATAGATATCTTTTATATGGTTGCAGGGATGGTTGTCAGGGCTGAAGACAGATGGTGATTCACATCAATTACCAACCATTGCGATAGTGGCATCATATGACACCTTCGGGGCTGCACCGGTATGTTGTTTTTAATTTCATCTATACAGCTATACCAAATTACCTTCATGCTTGTGTTAAAACATCTGTAATTTTAGGCATTATCAGTGGGAAGCGATAGTAATGGAAGTGGCATTGTGGCTCTTCTCGAAGTAGCTAGATTGTTTTCTCTTCTATATTCTAATCCGAAGACAAGAGGACAATACAATTTGCTTTTTGGACTGACGTCTGGTGGGCCTTACAACTACAACGGAACCCGTAAGGTGATATTTCCAATATGAAAGTTCGTTTTATTGTCTGACAAGTTTGTTACATGTCGGCATTCTCAATGCTATGATTCTTGTCACTAATAGTTTTGTATTTTTCAGTGGCTTCAGAGCTTTGATCAACGTCTGCGTGAGACCATTGACTATGCGATTTGCTTAGATACTATTGGCTCATGGGAAAATGAATTATGGATTCATGTATCTAAACCTCCAGAAAATGCCTTTATTAAGCAAATTCTAGAAGTAAGTGACTGTCCCAGTGGTGGGGGCTTTACTAAAATAAATGGATTGACTTGCATTTTTGACTTACTGACTTTTTTGATGGAAAATATTGGTGTAGGATTTTTCAAGTGTTGCAGAAGAGTTGGGTGTCCAAGTTAATCTGAAGCATAAGAAAATAAATATTTCAAATCCTCGAGTATGTGATAAACTCTCACAATTTTACTAGCATAGCTCTGACATTTTATATTTAGCTTCCATTCATTCTCACGTGGCAGTATTTTAAAGAAAAATTACATCACTGTCGCACTCATTTTATTACCGTGCACTGGACACTTAATCTCTTATGGTTTGCACATTTATCAAAGAAATCTGAAACTATGTTATACTATTTGTTATTTCAGATTTAAATGCACTGAAGTCAAATCATTCTCTTTATTTTTATTCTCTGCTGAATTCATGAGATCTTTGAGACCTGCTTCTTGAAAGAAATGTTCTTGAGGCCAAACTACATTAGGGTCCTTTAACTTAATTTAAAATTCCAAACAAGTCCTTCATAGCTTTTTCTTTTAAATTTTGTCTATTCTCTTTAAAAATGTTCACATTGTTTAATTAATATTCATTTTTTAGTTCCCTCGTGTTACATATTTAAGCACACGACGATCATTGAATGATATACTGTAGAGTATTTCATCACTCAGCACCTCTCAATTAAACCCTCACCAACAACAACGAAATCACAATCTTACATAAAAACTAGAACACATGTTAGTTTGATGGATTAGATATTGTAACAGTCATCATGATGTAATTTAGATGTTATCATGATGAATTGACGATATAATTTACCTTTTTAGAACGGTCAAGCAAGATTTTTGGTAGGCATTCATAGATGAAAAATGAAGTTTGGTTTGGTTCAACATTGTAAAAGTTTTAAAACATCAAAGACTAACCTTACATGGAGAAAGGACTAGAAAAAGATTAAACACATGTTTGATACTTTAAATTAAATTAAAGGACCCCTGGCGTAGTTCTGTCTACTTTTAATGATATACTATTGATTATACATCTTTCTATTGGTTGCCATTTCCTTTCTCTAATCATATCAGCTTGCATGTCACATTTTATTGAAATATATTTCTTGATACAAGCATGTACTTCCTATATTTGTCTAACTACTACTTCTAAAGCTGGGTATTAAAGCTAGACATCTGCTGTAGGTAGCTTGGGAGCATGAACAGTTTTCAAGGCTGAGAGTTACGGCTGCTACCCTCTCTGAACTCTCTTCAGCACCTGAATTGCTAGAGAGCACTGGTGGTTTACTTGATGGCAGGTTCATCTCTGGACTTAAATACCAGTATTTTCTAATATCTATGCCTGTTTGCTGAGAGCTTCATTCTACAGGCAATTTGTCAATGAAGCGGCAATTGTCAGAAGTGTGAAACTAATTGCAGAGTCTCTTGCGGTAAGAGTAATTTTACCTCAGGAAGAGATTAAATGTTGCACAAAAATGATCCAACATGATGTCCTCGTAATTTTGTTTGGAAAATAGTTAATATTATTCACTAAATTTTGTTAAAGTTGGCTTGATGATTATACTATTCTCCAGTAGTAACAAAATGATTTATTCATTGGGTATATGCAATTGAATGAGATGTGGATATTTTTGATGCATGTACTTACTTGGTGTAGCCTGCATCCTTCATGTTTCAACTACTGTCTGCATTTAGTTGCAGACATGGTATCACTAGTAGTGGCCCTGCCAGAATGATTTAGCTTTTTTTGTCCAGTCTTCGATAGATTATGGCCATGCCAATTTGTTTTGTCCAACAGACAACCTTGAATCAAGCAAAGTTTTAGTTAATTGTTACAGCGTGTGGCACTACCTACTCTTATTGTTAATACTAATTCATTTATGGTATGGTGTTTTTTATATTTTTATAGTAGCAATGTACTAAGGTTAGTTAACGAGATCCTTTTGTTTGCAAAATTTTCACTTATTATTTGTTCAAACATCACAGAATCTGCCACTCATGGTATTTGATTCTATTTAATTATGAGGAATACTATTGCTAATGTCATGGTTAAACTTATTGTTGATGGTGTTTAATCATAAAAATAGTTTTTGTATTTGACATGCTTACGTTAGTTACTTTGATGCCTTAATGAAGGTTATCCTTTTCTTGATTTATTCCTATTTCTTTTGGCTATTGCAACCTGACTTATTTGCCAATGTGATAGTAATTTAGTTGAATAACATAAACTATCAACATTCTTAAGTGTCATTTCATTTTGAAGAATTACTCAGAAAAAATGTTTGTATTGGATATGCAGTATTTATGATGTGACATGATGTTGCCTCAAGAAAATTCATATATTTTTCATGCAAAGCCATGTTTCTTTCTTTAAACAGTCTCTTTTGATTGAACTGTATTTTGCAGAAGCATATTTATGGGCATCAAGGAAAGAATGTACAGATTTTTGCGGACAACAGTAACTTGGCTGTAAATCCTTCATATGTTAGATCATGGTTAGATGTTTTGTCGCAAACACCTCGAGTTGCACCATTTTTATCAAAAGATGATCCTTTTATTACGGCATTGAAAAAGGTATTATTAGAATATGTATATTTGTATCATATCTTTTACATCTGAATCAATCTTCGATATCCAGTCCTTAGTTTCTTTGATATCTGATTGAAGCAATCTTCTTGTTAGTTCTAGTATACTCACCCAAGTATTCTGCATGCTTATAGGAATTAGAAGATCATACAGATGAAGTCAATGTGCAAAGAGAAATACTAGATGGGATGTTCACTTTCTATGATTCAACTTCAGCAAAGTTGAACATATATCAGGTATTTGAAGTTATTTTCTTTGTGCCTTATTTTGTATTCCAAGATAAGCCATTTGCTTGTTCTCTTTCCCCGTTTAAAGCATCTGAATTAAGCATAAAAGGATCTTTGACAGAATTTTGCTTAGACAATCTTCAGTTTGTAGTGTGTTTTTCAGTTACTTGCGGGTGCAACATATTTTTCAGTTACTTTTGGCTTTGTGATTAAATAGTCCTTTTTTCATGTCTAAAATAAATGATTGTTGTTTTACAGGTTGCCAGTGTCACATTTGACTTACTGTTGCTTCTAGTTTTGGGATCATATTTAATCGTCCTCTTCAGTTTCTTGGTCATCACTACTAGGGTATGTATTTATTAAACAACCAACATCCCTGCAAAACTTCAGATATCTAGTTTGTTTGCGTGCATTTAATCTTGGCGTTGTTGATTGGCAGGGTCTTGATGATCTAATCAGTTTATTTCGACGGCCTCCTTCTAGAAAAGTGAAGACTGCATAATGACCGGCCAGATTGTGTTCTCATGTTTGGTCTACGTAGTTCTCATGTTTTAATTAAATTAAATAGTTTCTTAGGATGAAATTTCTATTGAAAAGCTTTGTAGTGTATTTTATTCATCAGTTATTGTTTAGTTAGTGGTTAAAAACAGCTAAATGTTTTTGGCTGTGCTAAATTAAGAACGCCAAAATTTTGATATTTGCCTCTTATTTGGCGCATTCATGTAGAGGGAAAAGGTGGTTAGTGATGCATGTGCTGTGTCAACGTGAGTTGCTAATTTGCCTTAGTTAGGTCTTGTTTACTATTTACTTGGATGTAGCTCAATAAAATATTTGTTTGGTTTTTTTTCTCCATAAAATATAAAATTGACACATGGTAAGAAAAATTAGTTCCAATGTTGAAATTGAGGTTCAGAGTTAACACAAGTAAGTATGAGAGTAAGAATGAGAGATTGAATACCTGACCCTCTTAAATGAAAGAGTACGTATAGCCTTCAGTGTTGGGCTAAGATCCCCATCGTTGGGTTGACAAGCAGACTCAAAATGGAGATTGTCAGGTCCTACGTGCGTAGTGGGAGCTATCACGTGGTCCTCAACCTGGATGGATTCCTCTGAATTATCAGGAGGATATGTGCGGTTTTTTCGGGGCCAAGAGGACTCCATAATATTCAGAGGTGTTGAGAGATAGTCTTATGAGGAGGATGCTCGTGGGGTCCTTTTGTCTGTCGTGGACCCTCCTCGTCAGTTGCGAGGTCGTTCTTGGGGGACTTGTCTTGGTTGATGAGAAGAGAGGAGGATGCTCGCGAGGTCCTTCTGACCGTCGTTGGTCCTCCTCGCCATTCCTGAGTTTATTCTTGTAGGACAAAGCCAGGTCACCAGAAGAGTGAGGTGACTGCCCGACATAGTCGAGGACAGGCTCTATCAGTAGGCTTTCCTCATGTAGCGCAGTTGGATTGAGTTTCGTATGATGTTTGGGCCAAGTGCAGGTCCAATTTAGAACAGGAGCTCCCCAAGTCGTTGCTCCTGATGAAGAAGGAGTAATGACTTAAATCCAACTTCTCCGTACGACGAGCATAACTTAGCCGGGGGGTTTTTCAATGCGTCGAAAGATGGAATCATCGTCATGCATGGTTTCTCGAGCAGAGATTGAAATTGGCTTCATGGGGAACATTTCAGTCATTTCTTGGCTCGCGAGGAGAGGAAAGTTCAGAGGTAGCCACATGACGTGGCCTTTGGAATAGAAATGATGGTCTAGGGAGTAGGGGTCATTATGACCTGAGGTGGCGAGGAGAAGGGCGGCTGGCGTGTCGTTCGACGCGATGCTTCGCCTTCCGTACCATCCTTATAAATAGTCCTATAAATAGTGCTATATGATTCATTTGTAACATTTTCAAGTCTCGCTCTCTCCTTTCTTTATATCATTTTTAGTTTTACATTGTCATCTTTTTCAACGGCCAACGCCGTCGCAACCTCTGCCGCGGAACTCCCACCAACTTTGATCAAATAAGTGTTTCCCAGTATTGATTGTTATTTACGATTGACTTTTCGATAAATCTTTGATGAATTTCACTACTGGGGGGATTTTTACTCGGCATATTCATACATCCCTTCGTAATAGTCACGGATGGGCCCGTAAAATTCGTCTATTCCCTGCAGAATTCACGAATTTTCCCGTGAGATTCATCTGTTCCCCGCATAATTCGTGAATTTTCTTGTGAGATTCATCTGTTCGCAAATTCGTGAATTTTCCCAAAAAATTCATTAGTTCCCCGCGAAATTCATGAATTTTCCCGAAGGGTTTATCCCATACCCGCGACGCTCATGAATATTCATTATGTATTCGTCACCATCGTGCGGTTGTTTGAGGCGCGTATAAGCTCCCCGTGGTGCTCATGAGTTGTATTTGTTTCTCATTGCACGAGGGTTCATCGACCTGGTTTGGTTGTAGTAGTCCCCTTTCACTTGTGTTACGGTGGATGGGGGATTTGATTTAGCTGTCGAATTCACTGGTTTCCTCTGTTTTACAGGTGAAATGGCCGAAACCCCCGAGTCATTCGAGCAGATCAAGGTGGAAGAGACAAGTGTAGCCGACGAGGGCGTCCATTTGGTTGACACGATCGACGACCCGTCACTGTCTCGGGTCGGGCCAGAACCCCGACGAATCGCCTTAGTCTTCAGTTACACTAGAAGGGAAGCGTATACCATTGTTGAGTATGACGGAGACCAAGAGGGTTTCCGTCGGAACTTCACAATCCTGCGACCGACGCCTACGTCCAGGATATGCTCGGAATTCAAGGAGGATCGTTTCCCCATGTACGAGGTCGTCTTTAGGGATTTGGGGCTTCGTCTTCCCTTCAACGACTTTCAGATGGGTGTGTTTAATCACTTGAACTTGACGCCTTCTCAACTACACCCCAACATGATCGCTTTTATTCAAGCTTTTAAAATTACTTGTCGGTACTTGAAGATCGGGGCGACGATTCCCTTGTTCTTTTAAATAGTCGAAGAGGCTGTTTCAGATGCACATGGATTCTGTCTGTGAATTTAAGGATAAATGGTATGCCGTGCCGTCTTCATCTCAGGCGGTCGTGGATGTTGTGTTCGACCCGATTTCCATCGTGGATGAAGATGGGGAAGTATGCTATGACGAGGACGGGAACCCAAAGATTGGGAGACTCTCGAAATTCCTTATCAACTGGTTCCAAGGTCACTAAGAGCATGATCCCAGTCATTACCATACCCCCGTCGACAACATGAGTATCGAGGACGAAGGGGCCTTCGGTGTTCTCAACCGGTTCGTTGATGGTTTCTTTCCCCCGAGGTGGGTGACGAGGGAAGGAGATGATATTCTTGATGAAGATGGAGAACCTACGTTCGAGGCGCGCCCAGTCAACACCAAGGCACTCATTGAGTGTCGTACCTACGGGAAAGCTGTGACCCTTCTAGGTTTCTGACCCCGTGACTCTTGCATTTTTGCTTCTTGATTTATTTTGGGTATGCCCTTCTAAAGAGGCTGACTCGAGGGTGTTGTTTTTGTTTTTGCAGGTAACATGGCTGAGCGTCGCGAGCGACTTCTGAAGTTGACCTATGAGAAAAAGAACCACATAAGGTTGGTGAAGCTGAACTAACCTACACGCCTTGGTCCAATCTCAGAGCTGGCCAAGGATGGGTCGAGCGGGTCTTCGGGTTCTCGCAATGTCGTGCAACATGAGGCTGCATTGAGTAAGAAGAGAAGTCGTCATGAAGGTGGACTTACAAATGTGACTGGTGAGGGGGTAGCTTCTTGGGCCTTCACCCTTCTCCCTTGCTTCGTCGAGAAAGGTTTTTTCGAAGGTTTTCCTTTGACTGTGTCTAACGGTAAATCCGATGTCATCAGGCGCCTCGATGAGGAGGGTAAAAGGAAGCATCTGGCCTCTGGTATGGTCGGCCTGATGAAGGTCGCGCAAATGGTTGTCGTCCTCGCAGGTAAGGAGCCGAATCCTTTGGCCTGATGAGGAAACTGGATTCGGAGAAGGCGACTCTTCAGGAGAAGACGCAGAAGTTGAAAGCTGCCCTCGAGGGAAGCGAGGAAAAGTTTAGGGGGCAGGCTGATGAGTTGGCCAGGGAGAAGGAAAAAGTGGTCAAATCCTACGAGGAAAGGGATTCCTTACTGCTCGAGAGGGAGCGCCTGGAGAAGGAGGTTGCTGACTTAAAGGCTGCCATGCTGCCCACAGAAGGGGAGCCTGAGGGGGTCACTAACTTGCAAACACGTATGAAACTGGTTGCTCAAATTCAGGTCCTCGAGTCAGATTATGTCGATGTTTTGACCGATGATTTCGAGACTGCATTGGTTCAACTGTTCGTACTAAATCCGGGGCTCAACACTAACGGCATCGAAGTTTTGTATCATGTAATTGAAGGTAGGGTGGTTCCTCTTCCTTATTCTCCCGAGCTAGAGATTGAAGTGAGTACTCCGCAGAGTGACTAGTGTTTTTGTTTTGTTTTGATAACTTGGATGTTTATATTTGAGGTCTGCGTGCCCGTAATCTTATAATATTCAGACCATCGGCCCTCGTGGTCGGCATTTATACATGCTTTTATTTTGCATCTATGTTATATTTGTTAAGTATTTGCTTATTGTCGTTGTGCTTGACTTGTTTATTCCCTGAAAGTTGACACCTCTAAGAGATTAGTGCTCAACCTTGGTTGTGGTCGACACATGTTGGGATGTGTTCAGGAGGCAGAGAAGGGATCTTCATTCAAGATCGCGGTCAGGGTTTTGACTTCGTGGCGTGAACTGCCCATCGCGAGCTGGGTGTCCTGCCTATTGGGTACTTCCATAGTGGAGCTCGATCGAGGTGTCCCTGTCGGGTTAAGGTTCTAATCGATTAATGAATATCAAACCAACCTTTCAGTAACGGTTGAAGGCCATGTATGTACCTCGACATGCCTCCGTGGTTGAGCGTGCCCTGTCGTCTATTGGAAAGGTCCAGTCGACTACTAAGGCCCGTCGTTTGCCAAGGACTTAGTTGTAATATTGTTTCAACTTTGTAGCATTCCATGGCCGAGGTAGTGGTTCTCCATTTAGGTGTTCGTGGTAGTATTCCCCAGTGCTCGTAGCTCCTTGGACGCGGTACAACCCTTCCCATTTCACGGCTAGCTTCCCTTCACGAGAATATTTCTGATTTCTCTGCAAGACTAGGCTGCCGACCTGGAATTCACGCTTTATGACTTTGCTGTCATGGCAAAGGGCTATCTGTTGTTTCAGCGTGGCTTCGTTGGGGGCTGCTCCTGATCGGATTTCCTCAAATTAGTCGAGCTCTTCTCTTAGGGCCTCTTCATTTATTTCCTCGTCTAGAGGTGTTATACTCCAAATTTTGCCCCTAAGATCCTCTGTCATCTCATAGCATCACAGTGCATCAAGGTCACACATTTGGGTTTGACTACCTCACTCAAAGTCGATTCAACTGGTGGTCTCATCATTCTTGGTATCAAACTAGGGTTTTGGACCAAAAGCATCATGGACGTCTTCCTTGGAAAGATTCCGCGAGCTACAAATTTATCTTCATCAAAAAGATTTTTCAAGAAAATAAGTGCTTTAGAGTTTATCGTGTGCTCAAGATTTCATCATGTCTTCATTGAGAATGTTTCGAAGTCGGGGTTTTGTTCCTCTCGCTATTTCAAGCCTTCTTTATTAATGTGCACTCAGAGCGAGATCATTTAGGGTTTCTCCTATGTTATGCTCGATTTTAATATTAGATCCTCAACGGAGGTTCATCGTGCTAGGTTTCTCCTCATTGATTTCTCCATAAGACTTTCATTTAAGGAAGTTAGAGAATTTAATCAAGGACTTCTTTCTTGTGGTATTATTTGTCAGGTGATTGAAGAATGCTTTAAACTTTCATTAAGTCAAGATATGTCTTGTTGGTTGGTCTATGGTTTAGGAAGCTTCTTTATCTCTCATTTTTAAAAGGGATTGGGTAACTTCAAATGAAAGATGATTGGGATTTATAATTCAGTTGAGATTAAGGTCATTGATCAAGCATGGCATGGAAAATGCGATTGAGAATTATTTTTAAACAAAGTTTGGTTGCCTATTCAATTACTTGTTTGCTTACGAATTGTTTTGGATTTGAATTGAATACTAAAGTTAAGTTGTGAAAGATCATGTTTACGACTTACTTGAAATGCACTTAACAAGTGATAAGTTAAAGATGTAATCCAAGTTCAAGTTTATTCTAGTGGATCATTTGGAATTAAAAAAAAAGACTTAAAGCATTCATCATTTCATGTAAATATCACTTCAAGATCAGAGTTGCAAAATTAGAAAATTTAGGAATTTTGTTGGCTTGGAATTTACAGTTTACGTCATGATTGAAGAGAAGTTACAAATACATCATATTTCAAAACTTATTGAATTTCACTTGGTTTATCTCAATACAAGTTCAGTCAATTCAAGGCTTTATGCAAATATAATTCAAGTCGAGATTCAAAGTCATTTTAATTTTAAATTTACATCACAACACGTCAAAAATCCACAAAGAAAAGATACAAGGCATTTTTTTCTAAAGCTCTCTCTCTCTCTCTCTTTCTCACTCCTCATTATCTCTCTTTATCTCTCTTCTTGCACCTCGAAGCTTCTTCTCCTGTGTGTGAATCAAAGAGGAAATCAGCTCAAAACTTCCTCCTCACTCCTCAGTGACAGAACTAGACAAAGAGGGTATCCTTGTGTTGCTGATTGATGGCTACTAATGAAAATCTTTCGCCTAATGTGATAAAGCAACTTGCCAATGAGTTGAAAAATCTTGATGAAACCACTCTCGAGGGCATTAAAGTTGTGGTGAATGATGATGATTTTCAACGATATTTGCTGACATAGATAGCCCAGCCGGGACTCCTTATGAGAATGAAGTTTTCGCATGAAGTTGTTAGAGTGCCGCGATTTTCCACATTCGCCTCCTAAAGTATTTTTTTGACAAAGATTTTCCATCCAAATGTTGCAAACAATAGAGAGATTTGTGTCAACACACTAAAAAAGGATTGGAATCCTAGCCTTGGATTACGACATGTTCTTATCGTTGTTAGGTGTCTATTGATTGAACCATTTCCGGAGTCAGCTTTAAATGAACTTGCCGGTAAACTACTGCTTGAAGATTACGCGGAGAATGCCAGACATGTCAGGATTTACAATGGCATTCATGCAAAACCAAAGGCCAAGTTCAAAAGTGAAGCTATAACACAATCAATTACTTATATGAATGTTGATCAGAAGAACACCTCAGTGCTAAATGTTGACATCAAAACCATGTCGTCAAGTGCTGCTTTGCCACCATTGTCGCTGCCCTCGACGACTGCAGCAAGAGGTGCTAGTCAGGATCAGGCAACAGGCATTCTTACCGAGTCATCTGCTAATCATTCTACTGCTGCTGCGGTAGTTTCTGCTGCTCATGCACCCGATAAAAAAGAAACTGGAACTGCCAAAGCTCAGGAAGACAAGAAGAAACTAGATGCAAGAAAGAGAAGTTTAAAAAGATTATGATTAAATTGTTCAATAATCGAACTTTTTTTGTGTCTTAGTTTTTCTGTATTTGTTTTATCATTCGATAAAGAATTGAAAAAGGGAGGGAGGATTCACAACAAACTATAACAGAAAAGATAACATAATTGAGAAAAGGGAGGGGATTCATTTGCAAAAATATCAGAAAAACTCTATCTGATTCTCTCAATAATATTCATCTTCAACATTGATTCTCCATTCCCTCTCTACAACTGAAACCCCCTCTTCCATCTTCACTATTTTTTTCAAAGACGTTTGCCATGATTTTTCATAATTCAAATCTTCCTTGCCCCTGTTTAACATTCAGCTAAACCTGCAAGAATTATGCAGCACCTCACATCAGTTCAATACAGACTTTCGACACAAAAAACTCCCCTGCAATAAAGTCGGTTCAAACTAAAGCCAATCTGTCTTGCCGTGCTTTAACCAAAACCATGTTCATTCAGTTTTAAACCATACATTGCATCAGAAAATTATTGAACTCAAAAGGTAGAAAACGGAAGAGGATCGAAAGCAAGCAGATCAGAAATTCAAAGGGAATTTATTAACCCAATAAATCATAGTATGAAAAAGAGGTAACCAAAGCCTTGCATTAGGAGATAATAAAACTGGTTTCTCAATAGTTTATAACAAACAGGAGGGAGTTATATTACATGGTCATTTACATGAGAAAAATAGCATAACAAAATAAAAAACAGAAGGAAACTAAAAAAAAAACTCAACTGAATTAGGCTCAATCCTACCATCTATCTCCCTAAGCGTTTTTTCGATCAAAGGCAGAGATTGATTCTAATCTCTAACCAACTCTCAACAAACCATTTAACAGAATTATAACAGAATAAAGAGGAGGACGATTAATTTGCATGATTGATACAAAAAGGAGAGGGAAAATTTTTGAAGACCGATAAGAGATTTCTCTCTGCAATCTCTCTATGCCATTTTTTCTTCCTTATTACCCTCACACACCATTCTTCATCTCTTTGAATCTCTGAAATTCTCCACAACCTCTACCATACATTCACCATCTTCATCTTCTCCACGCTTCAACCACCACAGTCATTCTTCAATCATTCTGAATAGTCACCAGAAAAGCTCTCTAAAACCTCTCTTAGAAGCAGGACTTCATCGAACATCACCATGTCATACCCCAAATTTGTCCTACCCTCCTCTAGGTGCCATCTGGCTTATATATTTCATGCCCCTCATCTAATACATCATTAATCAATGAAACTAGGCATGGGATCGAGGAATCAATAAAGCTAGGATTCCACATGGTTTGAAGACTCCTTCATCAAGCAAGCCCGATCCACCTGTTTGTCTCTAAGCACTGAATTGTGAAATTAGGTTTTTTTCATGGTTACTATAGGCTTCTTATTTCATCTAGCTACAAGGTTTTTATTTTTTTTATCAGGGGCAAGATCACTAGGGTTTCAATATTGGTTTTCATTTGAGATTGCTTTAAGCTGTGAGTTAAGACATGGTGCAAGAAATGATGGATTAATTGTGATCATGATATGGTTATATTCCCTCAATGTCTTATGGTTTGTTGCTTAAATGACAAGTTAATATGGACTTGGATTGAGGTTCCTTCAAAAGGAAAACGTGGTCTAAACTTGAGTTTGGATCCATTTTCTTATGAAAATCATGGAATGGACAAGATATTATTCAAAGGAATTTCATCAAGATTCATTCTTCTAAAGGTTCTCAAGCAACATCCAAACTTCCATCAAATTGTTATCCATTTAAACCCATCCAACATCATCATGTCAAGGTCAAGTAAGTTTTACAAAGACATGTTCATGGTTCATTCAAAATAAGAAGAAAGGATTTTTAATCTGAAAGAGGAGTTTGTTTTGAAAACTTGAGATTCTGCCTTTGAGTTTGAGAATTAATAAAATGGAAAGAATCAACATATTATATATAGTGAAGAATGGAAAAAGATATTTCAAGTTAAAACCAACATTTCCATTTACATCAATACCATTACAAGAGTATATCAAACTACATTATCCTTTTTATTGAGAAGTTTACAAGGTGGATGCATTACATAACAAAAAAACATCCAAAATAACTATTCTAACCCTAGCTCATTACTTATTCTTCACACATCTTCATCCTCTTTCTCCATAATTCTAATCTTTTATTTAAATACTTTAAGTCCACACCTATTCTTTACCTGTAGGAAGTCTAAACAGAAACACATTAGTACAGGAACATAAAGCTATGAATATGAAGTACAATCTACAAATCCATCAATATTACATCAAAGAAAACATGAAAGATCAATTACAAAGTAAAATCAGTTTTTCAAATCCGTACCAAAGCAGTTCAACTCAGCTTGTGTCGCTTCAGAAACCAATGCCCTGTATATCATCAAAAATAAGTGCAATGAATCAGTTAAACCAGAGGAAACAACTCACAATAAGTAAACCAGTGCACAACTCATCAATAGGAAATCCATATCATGTCAGAAAATTTTAAGAAAAGAATTAAACCAGAGCAGATATGTATCAAACCAAAACAGGAACTTGATTAATTCGCATTTGACCTAATAGGGAAAAATGCTTATTACAATCCAGAACAGGGCATAATCAGTAATCAATACACATACAACCAAGTCAATACTCATTCACGCAAATCAACAAATATAGAAGCCGAGAATCACCTAATACAGAAACGAATTCAAATTCATTAGTACAGAATCATTGTTCTCCTTAACAGAATTGGAAAGAAACATATTTTTGAATTGAATTCCATAAACAAATTACAGACAACCTAATTGTTTTCCTAAACGATTGCAAACACATTAAAAACCTTCCTTAAATCTATAAAACCTAAACGCTATAAAATGGATGGAGCATTACAGAGAAAAAGGGGGACGAAAAACAAAATTACAGAAAACATAAGAGATTACAGAGGGTGAGAGATTACAATAGAGAAGATATTTTTTTTACAGAAGACTAGATTTGTTTTACAGAAGGGTGAAACTTAGGGTTTCAATGTATGGAACCCTAAGTCCTTCATATCGCCGCCGTTGGACTCCTTGATCCGTCGCCATCCTCACTCAGATCCGCCCTTACCTACGAAAGGAAAACTGAAGAAGGGATTAAAGAATGAAATCAGGACTCAAATAATACGAAGAACCACAATGAGGTATGGAAACACATAGATTTTTTTCTCCGTTGATTGTTGTAGCATTTTGATTTGAGAATACAGAGTTTGTAATGTTTTGTGGTTGCGTGGAGAGTAAACAGGGTGACCGGCGCCGTCACGGTTAGGCTAGGGTTTTATTGGCGTGAGAGAAGAGAGAAGGGGATGCATCTGAGAGAGAGAGAAGCGAGGGATAATGAAGAAATAATGTATAAAGTGTCCTGATCCAGTGTGTTGTACCCCAAAATTTCCTCTCCCATTTTACTCAACAAATGTCAATTGAGGTCCCCAAGTTGCTCAAGGAAGTCCAAGAGTTGACTAGACAAACTCTCTCCTAAGGTAGTATACCTCAAATTAGGGTTTCCCTTTTCATCCATATGTGTGAACCACAAAGGACTCAAATGCTTCCCAAGGTCCTAATATGTTCCCAAGATTCTCCATGTCAAATTTCAAGCCTTGCATAAGAAGTTTGCTCAATCAACTGCTCAGATGCTTGAGAATCGACTGTACTAGGTCAAAAGTCAACGGTGGCCCACATACAGCCAAACCTCAAGATTTTTGGTCAACATCAACATTTTGAAGTAACTTCCATCATTTGATCAAGGGTTGATCATGATTCCTTAAGGGATGCTCCAAATTCATCAAAACCCAAAAGTTGCTAAATTAGGGTTTTACAAGAAAAGTCAACCCAACTTTGACCAAGCATAATTTCTTCATACTTTATCATAAATTTTCCATCCAAGGCTCATTTTGAAGAGGATGCAATTCCCTACAGTTCATATTCATCCCTCAAGTTCAAAATATGCACTCACAAAAAGATATGAATTTCTACATTATGGGTCATTTTGAAAAGTCAACAAAAACAGCTTTTGGGTCAAAGCTTCTTACATGAACATGGAAGACTCAATTGAGATGAGACTAAATGGGTTGCTTAGGGGACATCCTAAGATTTCTAAAAAGTCCAAGAACACTTCTCTATGGTAAACATTGAGATAGTTGTGCATTGTCAAAGTTGGCAATTTTTGGAAAATTATCAAAAGTCAACATTGATCAAATTTGCATTTTTTCCAAAGAGGCCCATGTTTTCTTGCTTGAAACATGTTTCTAATAGGACCCACGACCCCTGAGATTTTCCACCTAGTATTTTATTAATTTTATCATTTATTTTGATTTTTTATTCATTTAAATCAAAATAAATCAAATTAAATGGTAAAATAATGAAAACAAATCAAATCTTGATATTTTTGTGCATATTTGGAGTCCATATACAGCTAGCATGATGATCAATTCGTGCAAGACTCATTAGGGTTGGAAAAGATTGGATTGAAGCTTGTTTTAGAAAGATATCATACATGAATCAAATCAAATCACATTTTCATAATTCTCAAAGATATGATACAATTTTATTGACCTAATTCAGTCTACTATATGTATACAACAATTGCAGATCAAGAACAGGGGTTGAGCAATCGTGAAAACACAAAACAAAGTTCCAAAAAAGTGACAAAAAATGTTGGATCGTTTTTGCATTTGGAGATCAATTCAGGCCATTCCAACGCTGCTAATCATTTCCTGGCCATCTCCTGAAGCTAACAACATCATTTGCAGCCTTTAAAACGTCAAGAATCATCGCCTAGACATATAACGGTTTGCCTCCCAAACTCAAATTCAATTTCTATGTTTTACGCATGAAAAGTCCATTCTATCCATATATTCTTGATCATAATCATGTTTGCAAGCTTTCTGTATCACTTAATTGTACTAACAGTGCAGGAATCCATATCCACCATTGTTAGGGTTTAAGATCACAGTTTGGGGATTTCTGATACAGGAAAATTGGGCCATGAGTGAGGTACCATGATACTCGTGAGACCAAGACGAGTTGACTGGTACCGTCACAATTAATTTATCATGCTCGTACGAGATTTTGGAATTTTTGCAGGGCTATAGTTACAGCAAACGTACGTAGGTATAAGTCTTTAACCTAAGACGACGGTTGCAGTGAAGAAGGTGATGTCTGGTAGCCCATGACTGGTTGATTTGAATTTTCGCGCATTTTTCTAGGCATCGTGCGTTTTTTATATTATATTATATTTTGTTTACTTGTATTAACAAAGGAACCAGCAGCGCAAATGGTTGGGAGGCACGCCTTTGATGCACACGTCCTGGGTTCGATCCCAGGCGTGTGCATTTTATTATTTTTCTATTTATTTTAGGCAAATCCAATGCTTCATTCCGTCACACGTCTTCCATACAACCTCAACGCCCATCCACTGGATGTACAGCTAGCCAGATCTAACGTCTCTCCCTTGAATGTCCTTGGTGCTCCTCAAGTCAACACTTGCACCCAATCCGACATGGTTGACCGGGCTTGATGCTTAATGGGCCAAAATTCAGATTTTCACACCCCCCCTTCAGCTAGCATGCAGGCCCATTTGGTTATTTCTTTCATTATTTTCTTTAATTTCTATTTCTTTATTTCTTTTCCTTTTTTTAATTAATACAAAAAATTATTTATTAAATTAAAAAATCAAAAATCACAAAAAGGATCTCTTTTTCTTAATAAATATTTTTTTTGAATTAATTGGTTTAATTAATTTAGGGCAATTTAATTTTCTTTTTATGATAAAAAATAATTAGAATTAGGGTTTTAGATTGTACATAATGTAATTGATTTCCTTTAAAATACATCAAAGATCATTTTTTTTATAAATATATGTTTCCTTAATTAATTAGGTTAATTAGAAAACTAGGTTAATTTAATTTTTTTCATAATTTAAAAACAATTAGAAATTAGGTTTAATTAATTTGCAATTAAATGTTTTTTTTCAAAATAAAAATACACAAGAACAAAAATCTTTTTCTCTCAATTAGAGTTTAAGGTTATCATTTCAATCGTACTCATATTTAATTCGCCGCGCGCTTGTTAATTATTTGTCTATTATTTTGTAACTGTTCAGGGTTTGTAATAGTTAACTTAGGGTTTTTTTATTTTACTGTTTAAATCCCCGATTTTTGGTTATGTAATTAATCCCCCTCCCTGAAGCCTTGTAATAGCTAGGTTTTATTTTTCGCACTTTAAATTCCCACAACCTTTAACTGTCTAGATGCATGGCTAATAGGACTGTATGGCAAGAATGTCTGGAAAATTAAAATGGTAGATCACCTAATGTGCAAAGATTAAATAACTGAAACAAATCATATGCACATATTCACTCCTAGGGTTTACCTCACTTCGGTTGCCTTTGGTAAACAATCATTAAGCATATGAGATTTTAGTGGTTGCCCTCCAGTCTAAAGAGATCAAAGTGTCCCATTCGAATGTTGCCTCGGAAAGATCTTATGACTCTAGGGTTACTACTAAAGTTTTCTAACTGTTGCTTTAGTGATTGTATTTTGTCCCTTTCGATTGTGCCTTACAACTCCAACGACGGTGCTACCTACTCCTTAATAGTGGGATAGCGATGTCTAAAGGAAATAGAATGAAAAATCCTTTTTTTTTCGAGTAGATAGAATCTTAAGTACTTGCTCAATGAAAACTTTTTCACACAAACACATTTTCAAAACTAATTTTCAAAACAAACTTCGTCACATCCTTGAGGACTCATACAAGGGTTATCACGAAGTAAAACATTTTCAAGACAAACCCACACAAGCAATTTGAAAAATGAGCAATTACCTAAGAGCCCGTAGATAACTACAGATAGAAAGGGTGCTAACACCTTCCCTTTCTATAATCTACCCCCCGTACTCAGAATATCTCGAAAAAAGGTTTTTTCTGTTCTTTTTCCTTTTCCATGATTGGATGAAATAAAAGTGGGTGGCGACTCTTGCTTACCGCGACATTTTGCGAACAAAAAAATGCAAAACACAAACCAGTATTAACAGTCGGTTCTGCCACCGTATCACACAGTGCATGTCATTTCATTCCTGTTATCACGCACCCTAAAATCGTGCCGACATAATCCCCACCCAACGTCCATCACGCAGGTGTCCATAATAACACCATACTCCTCCCCACATGTAACCCAAACGGACTCTCTCAAACCATCATGGGCCTGGCCCAGTCCCTAACGGCACCCCCTTTATTATTCTGCTTGCTAGCGTATTAAGAACTACACCTCCCTGGCCAAAACGAGCCAAGTCCAATATCTGGACTTGGACCCTACTTCCTCACACCCCCAGTTTTGCTAGATAGTACAATAGCGCACCCCCTTGGCTTATAGGCCTGAATTCAATATCTGAATTCAGGCCCTGCTACGTACACCTCCCATTTTACTAGCCCAATATATTTTACACCCCCCTGTTTTTCAATTTAATTCTTTTTTTTT